GTAGAAGGCTCTTTGTTTCGAAGCCATTTCTTGAACGCTGCTTTCTCTTTAACTGCCATCTGTACCTCTCGTGTCCACCATGAAGATCTTTTCTGACCTCCAGGCGGCAGGTCAACCCGTTTAAATCCGCGGCATTCGGCGGCACCCTCCAGTATGCAGTTCTTAAACAGCTGCCACTCGGTTTCAACATCATTTGTCATCACCGAGATCTGGTCAAGCCGTGGTGCGATGTTTTTTGCAAATTTCGCTCTCGTGTCCACTGAAGATGATGTTTCCCATTTGATTCTTTGGTTGTTTGTGCCACCAGATCTTCGCATGGTATTCCATTTCATAGAGCGCAGCATGCCAACGGTAGCTCTCTGCGCCTCTCTTAACGCGAACATCCATTGCCGAGCGTCTTAAGTCAGACGATACGATTATCAAATCATCGACTTCTGTGAACAAGCTTCCTGGTGCCATATGTACTGATGCACTCTTCGAGGTATTCATAGTGAACAGTCGTTGTTTGCACGAAACCGCAACAACTTCATGCCGTTATTGTTGAGGTTGATGAGATGGTTTTTTCCAGTCACGTCGTTTCCACGTTTCAGCGTCTACTCCGACATACGCATTAAAATCGTCCATCAGTATAAGGGACTCTGTGTTCGGCACTTCGGACAGAGCATTTTCTCAAGGAACTTATGATATTCTCCCTCAAAATTGGGCGCATACACCTGTACCAAGGTCAACGCTTTAGCCTGTTGTAGCTTCAGTCAGAGGATTACCGCCCTTCCGCTGACAGCCTTCCGACCAATGATTCTGTCTCTATGAGGTTGGGTTCTACCGTAACACCATCACCTGCCTGATCACGCGTCGTTATATCGACTCCTGAATAGAGTGGCTTCCACCTGCAGAGATTCCGGATTCCGGATCCTTGGCGCTTCGTCGACGAGAGTCAAACTCTGTCGAGTTGGTACTTTATGACCTCAGCAACTAACTATTTTTCTTTTCTTCTGAGTAACGATATGTTCCTATTTCCGACTTTAAGCTCCCACTGGTAGTGTCGTTGTCGTGGACCATTTTCTGACGTGCTATAATGGTATCGCGCTGTCTGCCTCCTCCTCCGTTCAGAACGGGTAGCGACTCCGTTGCTGACTGGTACTTTCGTCGTCGTTTCGTCGGTCTTCGCCAGATGTTTTTATGCTTCTATGCCCCCGGCTGGCGGAGGGCGATGAGCAGGTGGTGATCGCCGACTTTTCGCAGACTGCTTCAGTCCCCCAACAGCCTGCGTGGCCCTTAGTAACCCGGGCAACGACTGAGCCGGTATAAGTTTCGATTGCGTCAATACCATGAGTGGCAGATGGCGAAGTTTTATGGAGAGTTCGCCGCGGTCTCCATCCCTCCTCCTTTCTCAACCCGGTTTGGGACCGGCAACGGCGGAGAATTTCTTTAATGATGAATTCCAGAGAGGTGAGAAGTTTCGATAGTTTCTTCATTATCGCATTTGGCGCAGTTGGATTTCATGAAATCTTGCTTTAAATTACAGTTTCATATACGTTTCAGAACGGGGATAATTTTTAGTCTAACGAAGTCTCTAGGCCAGTTCGGGCTGTTCGTTCAGTTGAAAGGAGTGCCGAAGGCCTGTCTCGTTCGCCCAGAAGTGATAGACCGTTACGATGGCACATACATCGTTCGCTATAAGGTGTATGACACGTGCACCAGTTTACTATTAACCATCAATGGTAGAAACGGTGTCCGAATCCGACCTTATACCTACAAGATTAACGGTATGCTGTTTTACGTGCTTTCCTGCTTTGTTTTTTGGACGTTTCAGCTTCTAGGAATTTTGCTTGTGTGCTGATATTTGCTAATGAAGCTAATTCTTGACAATGAGTAGACGTATCTTTCAGGAAAATTGTAATTTGGGATTTTGATCAAAACTTAGAGAAAGACGTGCTGTTTCATAGTTGCTAGTCTGAAGGCTAGTACCCTTGTTGACGTCTTGGGAACAAACAGTAGCCAAAGCATGGATTATTTTTCAAGGTTAGGTATAATAAAGTATGTTTTTCGTAGTCGCTCTGCACTGTGGTTGCCGTGAAGGCCTGTGATGAGTACATGGAATCGGTTAACGAGGTAGTGATATTCAGGGGATAACACATGCGTTCAAAATAAATGTCTACAGTAGCATGGGATGGACACTCTAACCCTGTCTAGAAGTCAGGCGTAGACGGGAAGCATCGTTTATCGTGTGAGGAAAGCACAGTGAATTCTATTCACCATACTGTGAGTTCGTTGAGCAGGGGTTAAATTCGTATTGCATATTAAAGAATAATATCTAATCTATTGCAGTACATGCAGTTTTAGTGAAACAAAAACAGTAGTCCTTCTTTTGGAACGAGTCTTCAGACATGTTGAAAGTTTTGCTGCTTTCATCGATTAAGGCTGAAAATCACTGAACCTTCATAAAGTTTCTGAACAGACATGAGCGTCGCTCGATAAATAATTGTTAAACTGAGTATGCAAAATCTTTATTTCTACAGAGCAGTCAAAATTTTGCTGAGGAAATTGGTCGTAGAAAAGTTATTCTGTTAATTTTCAGTTTATAGGTACAACTTTTGCCGGTCAAGTCAGCTATGAGGTCGGTCAAAGTGCATTACAGTCATTAAGCAGCCAGATCGAACAACTTGACACTGAGCTCCGTAGTGTCTGGCCCGAAGCTGTTAGAATATTTGCAGTAGTCGATCAACTACCATTTGCTCAGCTTTGCTGCATCGGCGGAAACTATTTTTTAACAGGAAACTTCCCACAACGTCTAGAAATCGAACTCCCCATCTTTTCTAGGCATAACTGACGACTTTTCTGTTTTGATCATCACATTGTGCCGTTTTTGTTAGTTAGACGTCTCTGGTTTGTGATATCCGCAGTATTCACAGCTTTTAGCAATTTGATTGTGAGACGGCGGCTACACAGTCATGGAAAGAGCAGTTCCTTTCCGAATGCCTGTTTGCTTCGACTTTGTTCATCGCATTTAACATGCTCGCCTCTTCGTCGACATCTGCTGTATTTCTCTGTCCTCTGGCAAACTCTCGGACCGTGGTGTAGAATTTACGCTCGATGAATCTGTTTAAGAGGTCAGCCTCTTCTTAATCTCTAGCTCAGCTGAGGTTATCTATGATCAAAAGAGTGTGGTCATAGCTTACATGGTTATGCCATTTAGCTTCATTACGCACCGTAATGATAGATCTTATTCGCTGTTCAACCGCCCTTCTTATTCTCTTCTTCGAACGACGTTCTGTATGCCTTTAGCATCGGTGAGCTGACGAGATGATGTGCAGGCGCGATGTTTTTTGGCAGCATAGATATATGTTAGATTATCGAAAGCACTGGAACCAAGGCGATCCTCTTGTTTAACTCTGATTGACGGACCATTAAGATCGAAGAAAGGTTATCCGAGTGGTTGCCTATTAATTAGTCCGACAGAGAGAGTGCCTTTGATACGGAACGTGAACTATTTCGTACGTTTCCTAGGAAACTCTCTCTCTCTGAACATCGTAGAACGGAGTCACGGTTCATTATATCCGGCTGAATATAAAGTCTAATCAGATTTACAAGCTTGTCCAACAAATGTTGCTATCAGCATAAGCATATCTTAAGCACTGCTATATAATATTACGAAAGATAATAAAATACATGCACAGAAGACTCGGCAGTTGTTCTTCCGATCTCGGTCCTCTCTGAGTCTCAGAGTTCTTGCGAGGAACCGTAGAATAGTTCACCTGTAAAACTCAGTTCGAAATCTGGATGATCCGTAGCAGGCAGACAACAGTATCTTAATAAGTCATACGGAAAATTGGTTTTGCCACTGTACGATTTGCTTGTGCAACAGTGCAATGAAAGTCGACTTCTCATGTAACCCTCATGGTTCAGAAATAATTCAGGAATGCATCGGCACAGTAAATTTGCGTGTATAATAAAGAGATGAAACTTGAAAAGATCGGCCAGTTTAATTACTCTGTTATCACCAACGACGGTATCACCCTGTTAGAGTTAAATAGGAAAGCTGTTCTTGCCTCCAGTGCTTTCGGTAGTTTGTCCAATATTTATGTTGATAAACTGTTGTTTTCTCCAAAAAACCGCCTATACCGTGCTTCGGTCAAGTCGGTACTGCTACGATATAAATACCGCAGTTCTAATGAAAAACGAGGGACAACCGTTGAGCAACACACAACGCGTCTTATTTCGATGTTTAATGAAGAAAATCGTAGTTGAATTAGCGACTGGAAAAGGAGATAGATCTTCTTAGGCGAATGTTTTTGCATAAAGGCAGCCGGCTTTGTTTATCAACGCTAATAAGTTTTTAATTAAAATTTGAAATTTGACGTCAGAACGTAGCTGATGATCATGATCTGGGCAGAGCTGCATTTTTAGCCATACTGAGTGAGTTGTTAAATTATGAAATTGTTATTTTTGCGAGCCATAATTTTGTGAACGAAGACACTGAGAAGCTGTGAATATGGCGGACGTCACAAACAGTAGACGTTCTGTTAATCAGTGCGTCTCAGCTGGTGATGATCAGTAACA